AGAGAGAGAGAGAGAGAGAATTAGATTGTCACAAGTCCCATCGATCCTATGATCTACAAACAGATAGTCTCCTTTTCTCATTTTGACTAGTTGAAATAAGTTGATCCTCTACCTTATATCACCAAGAAAGTAAAAAGGGGCTTTCAGATTTGCTCATCATGACTTCAATCCACGAAAGGTGAGTTCTTGAGAAACTCAGAGAAGCAGTTCTGTCCCGTCTCCATCTCTCATAGCTAATAGTAACAAGTAATGATCTGTGTATCATTTAACCTTCTGGAGCAGGGCCAGGGCCCCCCGAGTGGCTTCACTTCGAAGTTAAGACTAGGTTATTTCCTACCACTCTCGAGAAAGAACATTTCACTTACTTCCCCATCTCTAAACTTCAGTAACATCTTCCAAGAAGAAGATGAAATTTTCCAACAAGATTCATTTCTCCTTTGGATGAAATTTTCCAACAAGATTCATTTCTCCTTTGGCCTCTTTCTCAATGTCTTCACGTGTTTGATAGAACTCAGCAGAGCCTTTATTATAAGATCCAGATGAAGCCACCTGGGTTTTAGGATATAATTGGAAACTTGGCTGCTGCATGCATGCAAAGGAGAAGAAATAAAATCAACCATAAGAGCACAGACCCTAATATATGAAAATGTTCAAACTTTATAATTACATTCAGATAGGGGATGGCATGTTTTCCAAGAATAACAACTGGTGCCTCTAAGAGTTTAGAGTGTCTTCCACAAGTAATCTGAATTCCTCTCAAATGTAATGGATGCTAAGGAAAATTTATGGTGTACATGCAGCTTCTCTTCATTTGGTGTGAAGATTGTGTTTTAACCAACATTTAAGGGTTCAGGTACTGGAAGAACCAAATAACCTACATTCAAATCCCAGTTTTGCTACTTCCTGGCCGTGTGACCTTGAGTTAGTCCCTTAACCTCTCTGTGCTTTATTTAGGTTCCCAATGTGTAAATTGAGGATAATGTTAGTATCTATCTAATAGGATTGTTGAAAGGATTAAATGAGCTCATGCACTTACAGAGCACATGAAACAGAGCCTTGTGCATAGTTAATGTTCGACAAATGTTTGCAATTTTGTCACTATTGCTTAAACTAGTAGAAAAGAAAAGGGTCTGACCCTTTTAAAAGCATGTGTGGAATGAAAGAAGCCATATTTCTAGTTGGGGGGGGTGCTCAAAATACTTGAGTTAGAAACAAACTGAACTGGGACCTTCTGTACCTACATTTAGAGCAGTTCAAAACCAACAACACATGGCCTGAGTAGAGAGTAGCTTGTAGAAATATTAGCTTTCAACTAGCATTAATAAGCTGTGTAGCCCATTTTGCCCTAAGGGCAGCCTGGAACAGTCAATGTCAAGATGACAGCCTTGTTCTGTACACACAGTAAAATAAATGTTTGGGTAAGTGGAGTTTACACTAGTTAAATGATGAACAGAGTATTTAACTTGTAACTTGGAGTTTATAACTTCCTTTATCCCTTGCTTTGAAGGTTGCTTGTGAAATCTGACAGCGACTCATTGGACAATTTTCTTAATAAATGCAAATATTTTTAAGATGGGGAATAAATTTTGTTTTCAGCATCTATTTCTGTCACTAATCTTTCTACGGTTTCCAATTTACTTAGCCCAATAGCACACACAATTTATAAACCTTGAATTTATTGTGTTTCCAACTGACATATAGCTAGATTAGTTTTGCAAGAGCAAGAGAGTGGGGATTTATGTTTAATATTAAAATACCCATCATTTGTTGAGCACTTTTTATAGTGTCAGACCCTGCTCTGCATTTTTCGCATATATTACCTTATTTAATCTTCCAAGAATCTTTCAAGGCAGCTATCTGTGTTAGAGTAGTTGGCATTAGCCAACTCTGACAAACCCCCAGACTCAGTGGGGGGGACACAGCATAGGTTTATACATTTTTTCTGTAATGTCTGATGCTGTCAAGCGGCTCTAGGCAGCGTCTTCTAGGGGATGCCTCTGGGTTTGGGGATGCCCTCTACTATGGAGTTCCAGAACCTCTTTTGCTTCCTGTCATGTGGATAGAGGAGCAAGAAAAATGTGCAGTCGGCACACCACAGCTAACCACCTGAACCCCAAATTAACCCCACATTACCCCTGCTCACATCCCATTGGCCAGAAGCCAGTCACATGGTCCACCAAACCACAAGAGGCTAAGAAATGGGGAGGAATACATGGACATCACTAAATTTTAAACATATCTACCATAATGTACACTTCTGGTCACCAAATATCTATTTTCCTCTCTCTTTACTTATATATAAGGAAAGGAACACAAATACAGATTTCATGACTCTCCAAATTCCATATGGTCATTGCACCCAGCTCACAGTACAAACTTCTGAGTTATGCGAAACTCTTGTCAAAAGTCTGGATGTGCCATTTCTTGATCCAGCGATCTATCAACTAAAAGGAAAGTGATCTCTATCACCCAAAAAGACAAGTTTCCTCCCTTTCCTTCCCACCTCCCTCCCTCTCTCTCTCCCCATGCACACACACATACACACACACACACACAGTACAAATGGAATAACAGTGATATAACTACAACAAAAATTTCTCTTCAGAGAGAAAGAATAGGAGACACCCAACAGCCATTGATGCTGCATCTGGCCAGGCAGACATAGCAAAAACCCTCTGCCTTATGGATAGAAGAAGTTCTGGCTATGGGCCTCGCTTTGTTTTCTGGGGAGAATTCCCTTGTCCATTTTTCTCTATGGCCATCAGTTCTTCCTTCTGAGAGTTTCCTCTTGCTACCTCTGAGGTGTGTGTTGGGAGCCAGCCTTCCATGCAGCCAATTGTTCACCTGTTGGTGGGAGAGGTTGTTTTTGCAGTCTTGAAAGACATTTTTAGTACAGGCTTATAGTTATTTTCGCAATAGAAGATCCTCAAAAAAAAAAAAAAAAAAAAAAACTGGTGGTTCCTAAAAGCTGTGAAAGTTAGGTACTGTCTTTCTCTTCCCTTTTATTTCTGTTTATAATTTAGCCGTTTCTTTCCAAGCTGTTTCCAGCCATTTATTTTCATCTCATTCTTGAAACACCTTGCAAAATGCAGTCAATAGCAGCCAACACACACAATGGATGTTTTCCCTACAGTCTCTCATCCTAGAGCTACAGGGTGACTCAACACAGACAGCTGTGCACGTTATCACAGATGTCAGTTTCACCACATGTCCCTGCTGGGGCAAAACCTGGCACTTTACCTGTCCAGCCTCCGGTATCCATCTCCTTGCCACTCAGCTCCTGATGACTCAGCCAGTGACACCGAGCAAAGGTTTTCATTAGAGCAGCACCCCACATCCGTTACCAATTTTGGTATTGAACAGGGGAGCAACACTAGCTGCTGTGGTCAATCACAGTGACTCACAATAGGTCCTGCTGAGTGACTGATATGTAGTGAGGTGCTTAGTTAGCAGTCGTTGAGTAAATGTAGCATTATGTATATATATGTACAAATAGGTTATTTTGCATATTTGTATTTAATCTTTCACAATTAAGGAAACAAATTCCTAAGGAAATTAAGTATATATTCAAGGTCACATAACTGGAAAACTATCGATCAAGGTCTGGGACATTACCTGTCCTAGTGCCTATAGACATCTCTTCAGTAGTAGCCAGAGCAAAAATAGACTCTACCTTTTTCTCTGCTTTCATAGCAAAGAAAACCTGAAATCTGATGGCTTCCCTGCAGTTTTAGCTCCTTTCTCTCTTTTCCCTATTTTGATCAGAGGTATTATCCTCTGCCCATACTGTAATAGTCACTTTTGGTGACTCAAAAAACACAGTGGAAAATAATCTATAGTTTAAAAATAATGAATGAGGTTTTTGTTCTGTAATTTGTTCATGTAAGTTTACATAGTAAGCATACTTAATAGATTGCACTTGTGTCCATATCTCTATTCTCCACCAAATGGTCTATTTATTTAATTAATGTTTTCTGTATTCATAGAAGAGATTTTATTATATCATAGCCATTCTTTATATCTGGCAAGGGCACACATTGTCCTGTTTACTTTCTGTACAAGCTTTGACATACTATCCCTCCCCCATGCAAACCCACATTGTCAAAACTGTTGAATGAGCTGAAACTACATGATACTTTATTCATACAGCACATATTTATTGAGGGTTTAGTATCTCTCCAAAACTGAGCAAGTCCTGCTTTAAGATGTACTATAAATACTTTTTAAATCACCATTTTCAGCTGACCACATTTTAAGTTGGCTATCATTTGAATTCACAAATGCTCACTGTGTGTGTGTGTGTGTGTGTGTGTGTGTTTAATGGCAGGTAGGGGAAATAGTAAAATTGATAACATTGATTACAGACTGTATGTCACAAGACTTGATACACTCTGCAAAGCAAATATCCCTCCTAGAGTTTATGATTCACATTCAGGATGCAGGTTAAAATAAATCCAATTCAAATGAAATCATTTTAGGTATTTTCTCCTTCTTATGAAAACTTAATGTACACTAATTTTACATTTCCAAACAGATAAATTAGGGAAGCGTTGCGTGGAAATAATTGTGTTAGCAAATGTGATGTCTAACCATAATTTCACCAGGAGCAACTGTTCTATGAGTTGAGACAGAAACTTTCCTGTGTCCTTTTTTGCATCCAGTGAAGTGATGCCATTTGGTCTCAAGGCACCGCTTGAAAAGGCAAAGCAGCCTGAAGCGCCACAGTGAGAAGAGCTACGGATAAAAGAGAGAAATAGAATTGCTCAGATACCTGAAACCTTTGCTTCCCATTTGCCTCAGTCTGGAGTTTGCAGAAGAAATTCACCCACTCCTACTCTTGCCTAACGAGCGTATATATTAAGCTCTTTGAAATGTGAGTATTATGGGAAGGATCGCAGTTGCTTTAAATTATAGACGTTGGCAAGTGGCGGGGAGGAGCGGGAGGTTGTTTAAACTGAGAAAGACAGTTGCAAAACTTCATGCAACAGCATGAGCTCCAAGCTTCAAACACATTCTCGTGCTCAAAAGAGCACTTTATTTTTCACCGAGTTATTTTTTGTATTGTTTCGAAGTGGCTTCGAATAATACACACATATTTCTGCTTTAAATTTTTTAATGGTTTCTAAATTTATGGGACAACCAAAGCAAGAAAGCCTCATGTCTTGGGGGAAATTTTGAGAGCAGCAATGCCTAGAAAAGGTAAGCTCTTATTTTCATTACACTTTTTCTCTTTTTCCCTCCTGTTTGGCCTTCGTCAAAAATATTTACTGGAAGAACTTAAGACAGCTACTTGTAAAGATATGGGGAACTTGTAGAAAGTATGTCAACAAATGATAAATCAGAGGTTGGAAAACTTCAGCGGTCATGCCTTCCCCTGCTTTCTATTCTTCTTGACGCAAACCTCTGTGAAATAGCTTTGACTATTTGAAAAAAATGGCATTTCTCTTAGAAAATGTGCGCAGGTCCTCAGAATTTCCAACCTGATGTGCCCCGCATTCACTAGTGGGGTGATGGGATCATTTATTGCCCGGGTCAGAGTATCTGTGTTTTCTTATCCTGTTATATGTAACTCAACTTCCGGAGCTATGATCTTTCTATTAACTCAGAAACCATTCCCATGGAAGATTTTAGTATCTTTCCAAAAATTCTCTTAAGTGTGGTTACTATGACTTCTTATAAACTTGTTTTGCAGAATATGTTTTTGAAAGTTAAATAAATCACTTGGCTTTTCCTTTGTAACGACGCGAGAGGATGTTACAGCTATTATGTCCTGGAAGAAAAAAAGTCCATTTCCAAGTTTGTTCATTCCAGTTGTACTTGATTGACAATGTTAGTGTTTGGGTAGGGTGGCTTTGCTTTCTTTTCCCTACCTCAGATACAGGTAGGGAGCAGAGAGGCTCAGATATTCCTCAGTTTTCTATTGCATTGGTCATACGGGAAGTATGCTGTGGTTTTAGATAGAGAGGCGAATAAATGTGTGGTGTGCTATTCCTATTTCCCTGGGAAAGTCTCTGTTATCAGATTTCCCATCTTTCAGAGGCAGAATTCCAGGTGCAATGAGTGAGCTATCCACAGAGATCTATCTGCAAATTCTTTCAGCAGGCTGCGATTTGAACAGAGCCGTGCATTCATTCCTCCACGCACACATATGTACTCACAGTCGGAGGTTACAAAGCCCCGTGGGTTGGATCAAATTGGAGGAGTCTGGGTTCTCTAGGCAAGCACAGTCTATACAACCCACTTCTATGGAAGCAGGACGAACATGGCCCTCAGGCCTGGGTGAGAAGGCAAGTCTCTGCCGGGAAGTGTGCTTGGGTTGGGAAGGGCTCTACCTGCTTTGCTGGACCAGCTGCTGTCCTGTTTCTGGGATATTTTTCCTTCTGTGTCAAATTCTAATTATTGTCTAATAAGGTGGATTATGGTGGCCTCCCCTATCTTTCGTGGTCTCAGTGAAAAAAAAGATTAATATCAGAAGAAGGACATTATTAGAAGGGGGAAGGCAGCTAGATCATTGCAAGGTGGTCAAGAGAAACTGCTAGCTCGTTCCTCCATCCCCAGCTGTTAGTGGAGGGGAGGATCTGTGCCTGCCACCCCGCTGTCCTTCCTCCATGTTTTCCCTGCTCTCTCTCCTCCTCCCTGCATTTCTATCCATGCTGGCCATGCAATCTCAAGAGAGGGAGCAGTGAGTTGGACAAACAAGATTATTACCATCTCCCCCTCTCTACCATTCTCAGGCCTGTTGGGGAAGCCCCCACCCTATTTGGAAGGGGGGGTCTACAGGACCCCACCCCATGACCTCATCACAGGCAGCCGGGGAGCTGGGATGGCCAGCGGTTGCATGGCGCCTGAGTGCACCCTGGGGAAGGGTGCGGCCCAGAAATGCGCAGTGTGGCATGACGTGGCTGCTGGAGAGTGGGGCGCGGACTTCCTATCACGGGCTCTCGTGGAGACTGGCGGCATTTCTGGAAGCCAAGCCCGCCAGGCCCCACCTCTGGGCTTGAGAAGGCCCCAAAGAGGACAAAAACAAAAAGGCAATTAGCGTTGCTAATGAAGCCCCAAGCCAGCTGACTCATCTGAGGCACAGCCACTGGGGGGCTTTGTAATGAAACCTGGACAACACCCTGGAAAGGACAGGTCAGGATTGTCCCCAGAAGGACACTGATGAGAGTCCCGATGTGACCTAATCACGCTCCTCACCTCAGAGAGGCTGGGGAGAGGCAACATCTGTGAGGCACAGAGGGAGGACAGTGTTAACTAATGAACTGCCAGGCAGCTCAGGAGCTGTGCTGTCTGGACCTGGAAAGGGTTGGAGCCAGACTCAGCCCAGGTTGGCAGCTATGATCACACCCCCAAGTCTGTGACCCAGGAGCTGAAGAACCCCAGGGTGAGGACTCAACCCCTAGAGCAGATGGGAAGATTATAATTCCCTAAGCTCTGAGTGTCTACTCTGTGCCAGGAACTTTACCAAAGCTCTTTGAACATGGCCCTAGACAGAGAGACCAAACGCGGAGAGCACAGAGGGGCTTTGCACATCAACTTGATGACATCAGAGAAAGTTCCTTATAGAGTTGCATTTGAACTAGATCTTGGAGGAGGAGTAAAATATCATGAGAGAGACAAGGGGGGCAAGCATGCAGGCAGAGGTCAATGAGCAAAGATGCAGAGGTGAAAAGGTCATGGCTGCTCCCCTGGACCAAGTAGCTTGGGAAGGTAGGGCTCTGTTTCCCAAAGTTCATCCCAAGGAATAATACTTGAATGGGTTGTTAATAAGAGGACAACCAAAAGTATTTCATGGTCAGGCAAATCCAGGAATATGGAAAGCTGCACACCACAGTGGACCAGAACTCAGGTTCTGGGGTTATAAATGTCTGATTCAAATCCCAGCCCCAACTCTTAACTGCTGTGAGAACTTGGACAATTCAAACATCATTTTCTTCTTCTGTTAAGTGAGGATCATAATTATATCCATTCTTTTTTTTTTTAATTTTTTTAATTAATTAATTATTTATTTATTACAAATAGTTTATTGTCAAGTTGGTTTCCATATAACACCCAGTGCTCATTCCCACAAGTGCCCTCCTCCATGCCCATCACCCCCCTCCCCTCTCCCCCACCCCCATCAACCCTCAGTTTGTTCTCAGCATTCAAGAGTCTCTCATGGTTTGCCTCCGTCCCTCTCCTCCACTGTTTCCCCCTTCTTCTCCCCCACGGTCCTCCGTTAAGTTCCTCCTAATCCTCCTATACATGCAAACATACGGTATTTGTGCTTCTCTGACTGACTTATTTCGCTCAGCATAACACCCTCAAGGTCCATCCATGTTGCTACACATGGCCAGATTTCATTATTTCTCATTGCCATGTAGTATTCCATCATATAGATAAACCACATCTTCTTGATCCATTCGTCCGTTGATAGACACTTAGGCTCATTCCATGTTTTGGCTATTGTGGAGAGTGCTGCTATGAACACTGGGGTACACGTCCTCCTATGCATCAGCACTCCTGTGTTCCTTGGGTAAATTCCTAGCAGTGCTATTGCTGGGTTCTTAAAGGGGATATATTTTGAGGATTAAGTTCCATCGGCCATACAGGAGCTCAATGAATGTTAGCTACTCTTATTAGCTATTAAGAGCTGGTTTCTTTTTTTTGTTTGTTTGTTTTTATTTATTTATTTTTTACTTATTTCTGAGATATAGAGAGAGACAGTGTGAGCAGGGGAGGGTCAGAGAGAGAGGGAGATACAGAATCTGAAACAGGCTCCAGGCTCTGAGCTGGTTGTCAGCACAGAGCCCGACACGGGGCTCAAACCAACGAACCATGAGATCATGACCTGAGCCGAAGCCAGACGTTTAGCCAACTGAGCCACCCAGGTGCCCCAAGAGCTGGTTTCTTTACTGCAGGACTTCTCATACATTTCAGTTTCTTGCTGCCCCCTCTGTCTCTCCTTGAATAGATCATTAGAATCTAATGTTTTCCAAATTCATTAGAACTTAAAACCATGTTCCCCCCACAAGGCATATTGCACAAAACATGGAATACAAAATGTCTGCTGGAAAATGGCCAGGCTGAGTTGACCCAGTTGGTTGAGGCCCCATGACTTTTAAGTGCATGCATTTCCCAAGATTACTAGCCTCTTCACACATTGTTTTCCATGTTTGTGTGAAACAAAAGGCCCACAACTGGGATTCTCATATCTAAAGAAATTGACTTCTTAAAAAATATGGTCACCTTTTAGAAGGAAAAGTGACAGCAAAGAAAATTGTTCTTATACCCAAATTTTACACCCAGAAGGTCAGCGTTTGCCTATGGTTTGAGGGCCTACTGCACAGAGGAAAAGGCACAGGACACAAGCTAACCAAAAAGTGATCCCATTTTCAAGGAGTCACCAGTGTCATGGGGAAAATAACACATAGGTTCCAATATCTGAAACGCAAAACTAGATTTACGAGAAAGAATATGAGAGCTCAAAGTGAATGGGAGCTCACAGAAAAGGAGCTTTCAGCTCCCTGGAATAATCAGAAAATATGTAATATTCTTTGACATTTACCATGTTTGAGGAACTATGCCTAGTAGTACTCCACAATATGAATAGCTCATGTGTCCTTCATAAGGCTACACAGTGAGTGTGGACTTGCCCATCTCACAGATGAGAAAACTGAGAAATTTGATAGCCTATCTGAGGTGTTCTAGGAATAAGGGGAAGAATACACTCTCAAACTCAGGCCCATCTGGTGCTCTGTATCCCTCACCCAGGGAAGACTCCTCAGAGGAGGTACTATGTAATTTGACCTTGAAGGATGCATAGAAATTGATGGGAGGGGTATTCCAGGAAGCAAGAATATTAGTAAAAGCATCAAGAGGACTATGTGGGGAGTAGCAGAAAAGCCATCCTCACAGAACAAAGTGCATGCATAGACAGCTGGGGGAGATGCACTCAAAAAGAAAAAAGAAAGAAAAGAACAAGACTTGGTTGGAACCAGATCATAGAGAGCCTTGAATGCCAAACCACAAAGTTTAGATTTTTTTAATGGAATAATCATTCAAAGTTTGTAAACAAGAAAGTAACTCCCTGGCAGTTCATTAGAATGATGATTTAAGATGATTAATCAGTCTCCAAAAGGGGCAGAGACTAAATCTCCAGTTAAGAAGCGGATGTTTGTCCAGACAAGAGATAAGAGCAGCAGGGGGTCACACATCAG